ACACACACACACACACACACACACACACACACACACACACACACACATATATATAAATTAACCAAATATACATTTCTATTTAAAATACATCATAATTTATATTTAATAATATTACTGAGATAAACTGGCATTTAAAAAAAAAGGATGCTGCTTATTGCAACTTTTGTCATGAAATTAAATATCCAACTCTGCTCGGATTCAAGTCAGGTGACTTGCCCAGGTAATGTTTTTCTTTACAAACCTTTGTGTAACTTATGGATTGAATAACTTTGTATTTGTATAATTATCATGCTTATTTGTCACTTTCCACTTGTAAGTATTGTAGTTTACCCATTCATGGTGTCATTTATAAATCCCAGCATCATTTATACTTTTTTACATCCATCCATCCATCCATCCATCCATTATCTTTACCCGTTTATTCCATTTTGGGTCACGGGGGTCGCTGGTGCCCATGTCCAGCAATCACTGTGCGAGGGGCGGGGTACACCCTGGACGGGTCGCAAGTCCATCACAGGGCCACATAGAGACAAACGAGACAAACAACCATTCACTCTCTCACTCACACCTAGGGACAATTTAGAGTTACCAATCAGCCTAACATGCATGTTTTTGGTCTGTGGGAGGAAACCGGAGTACCCGGAGAAAACCCACGCATGCACGGAGAGAACATGCAAACTCCACCCAGAAGTCACCTGGACCGGGGTTTGAACCAGGGACCTGTTCGCTGAGAGGCAGCAGCTCTACCAGTTGCGCCACCGTGCTGCCTTTTTACATCCATGTTATCATATATATCAAATAAATTATATACTTTTTACATGAGATGTTTGTACTAAACTGGTGCTCTATTTAAAACAATATTTATTAAACTAAACTAAATTAGGACAAACTTGTCAAATATGTTGGATCCTTAGAAATGAAAAACATTTTTCTGGTTCTTATCTAACCCAAGATCATGCTCCCAGTATCCACCAGGATTATTTATGCAGATTTAATCCTGCAGGTTGGTGCAGCGGGTTAGTTTGAGCACTTTGCCTTCAATGCCTTTCATAGAGGTTGATGTTTTGCAAAGTCCTATGATGTTTTATCTGTCACATAAACTTAAAGTTTCATTGTCCACCTCTATAAAACTCTTTCAAAGTGCTAATTTGAAAAATGCAACAAGCGCACTGATCATTTTATTATCCTGCATAGAAACAGGATGAACCAGCAAAGCACTTTTTAATCTTTGCAGCATCTCACAATTTTTATTTTATTTTCACATGGCGCCGGATTACACAGATGCAGATAGACACAGCTCATGACGAGGTGTAAAATTAAAACCATGTTCATGTGTATAAGCTAATTTAATTAACACTAATTAGAATAGTTTTTATTTAATCAATAAGACTTTCTAATTTAGTTTCAGTGATCGCTTGTGTTTTCACTGTCAGATGTTCTACTCCTCTGACAGTGCCATGAATATAGCCATTTATTTAATAATAGATTGTACAATTTTTATTTTTCTTGCATTTAAGTGGTATTCCACTGGGTTGTTGTATTTTATATTTGTTTAACACCATAATGGCAATAAAATAAATGAATTTTATTATTGCAATATTTAACTTTTATCCACATTTGACATTTAGTCTGATTGTTTCAGACTCTGACAGTGGACACAGGTGCAGTGCAAACATGTGTGAACACAACTGCACAGACCTGACAGGAGGCGGCTTCCTCTGCTCCTGCAGACCCGGCTACAGACCCAGAGACACACAACGACACACATGTGAAGGTATAAGACATATTCCTTAAACACCAGTACAGAAGTAGTTTGCTCACTCTGGTCATGTTTTGTGTCGTGTTGTTTCTTGCTCTTTCTGGTGACAGATGTGAACGAGTGCGAGGTGTTCGGAACGTGTCCTCAGGACTGCAGGAACACGAAAGGCAGCTATGAGTGTTTCTGCTCTGAAGGTTTTCTGTCTTATGGTGAGCCACATGGGACTGAGTGTGCCGCTCAAGGTAAAAACTTGGAAAAAAAATAAAAAAATCCTCTCTTCTCTGCTTAAAACAGCAAACTCTTACCAGTAACTGATGTCTGTACAGGAAACCCTCCAGTGTTGCTTTTACCGGACAACGTTCGCATCCGCCGCTTCAATCTGTCCTCTGAGCAGTACTCAGATTATGTTGACAATGCTGAGCACATTCAAGCCTTGGACTACCTGTGGGATCCAGAGGGTGAAGGCCTCAGTACGTCTTCTTCTTTAAACCTTTTGCTTTTTTTTTTTTTTTAAACTGCAAACAGAGATTGTAAACCCTTCAATGTTGCATTATCATACCTTTTGTGTTCTGCAGGTATTGTTTATTGGACAGTTCTTGGTCAAGGACCCCAGTTTGGCTCTATCAAACGTGCCTACATGACCACATTTAATGATAACGGCAACAATCCGGTGAAAGAGACAAATCTGAACCTGCGGTATATTGTGAAACCTGAAGGCATCGCCGTAGACTGGGTTGGCAGGTAACTGAACATGATGATGTTTTTGTAGCAGGGTGGCAGTGAATTCTCTTCATAGATTTTCAGTGTTTTCAATTATTGTCCACAGACATATTTACTGGACAGATTCAGGGACCAATCGTATTGAAGTGGCCAAACTGGATGGGCGTTACAGGAAGTGGCTGATCCACACTGATCTCGACCAGCCTGCCGCCATTGTTGTGAATCCATCACTGGGGTATGAAGCCTTTTGTAAAAAGGCATTATTTTTGTTGGTTAATAAAAAGACTTTGTGGGCAGTTGTGATTGTTTTTGTGCAGGATGATGTACTGGACAGATTGGGGAAACAAACCAAAGATCGAGTCAGCGTGGATGGATGGTCAGCACAGAGAGGTGCTGGTGAAGGAGGAGGACCTGGGATGGCCGACCGGGCTGGCTCTGGACTTTGTGAATGGAAACAGAGTCTACTGGTGTGACTCCAAAGAAAACATCATAGAGTCCATGAAGCCTGATGGCACAGACAGGAAGATTGTTATATCAGGAGGTCAGAAGACGGACGTAGTGTGGCTGCAGACATCCAAACAAGTATTCTACAAGCAAATAAAGATGGAAATGCTTTTCTTTTCCAGATCTTGGCCACCCCTACAGTCTGGATGTCTTTGAGGGACATGTGTACTGGACAACAAAAGACAAAGGTGAAGTGTGGAAGACAAACAAGTTTGGACGAGGACATAAAGTCAAAGTCCTTACGATCAACCCCTGGCTGACACAAGTTCGTCTTTACCAGGAGCACCGACACAATCAGTCAGGTCAGAGCACAGAGGAGTGTGTGTGTGTGTATGTGGGGGGTCTATCTATCTATCTATCTATCTATCTATCTATCTATCTATCTATCTATCTATCTATCTATC